GGGCCTATCAGGCTGCCTGGCACTTTCTCATGGATCCGGAAGGAGCACAGTGATCCTCGGTCGAAAAAATCTTGCATTGTCCAGGGCTGAGGATTGTCAGGTGGCCCTGGAGGGGAAGACTCTGGGGAAAACCACAGAGAAGATTTGGAACATCTCTTAACGCCCAGTGCCTCCCCTTCCTATTAGTTGGGCGTGGTGGCAGGGGAATCTCTTCAACCAGGGAGATGGAGGTTGCGGGGAGCTGAGCTCGTGCCACTGCACTCCAGCCTGGATGGCAACAAGAGCAAAACTCTGTCTCAAACCAACAGTAACGACAAAAACAAAACTTCCGCTGAGGGCCTGGGATGCGCCGCCTGCTATACTGGGTGCTGCTGAGGAAGATAAACAAGAAGCAAGGCAGCTGGAAAATGAGCTCAACAGAATATACCTGGCTTGTCACTGCAGTGCAGATCAGAAAAAAAAAAAAAAAAAAAAAATGTCTGTGCAGATAAAACATGGATCCGGAAGGATAAAATGTGCAGAGCCGTCTGTTTTTTTCGTTCTTCTTCTTTCTAAAGACAGGGCCTCACTCTGTTTCTAAGACTGGTGTTCACTGGTGCAATCTCAGCTCACTGCAGCCTCGGCCTCTCAGGCTGAACCGATCCTCTCGTGTCAGCCTCCCAATTAGCTGGAAATACAGCTGTGTGCCGCCATGCCTGGCTCATTTTGTTTATCTTTTGTAGAGACGAGGTCTCACTGTTGCCCAGGCTGGTCTTGATCCTCCCAATTCAGGCTCCCAAAGTGCTGAGATTACAAGTGGGAGCCCCGTGTCCTGCAAAGCCATCTTCATAATCCGTGTGGAATATGATGGTTATCCCATATCCTTTAATCACTCTTTGTCAGAACATGAACTACTCTCTCACTGCCCATTAGAAATATACAGGGGAATGAAAGAAAAAAGTTAATATTGTCCCGGCACAGTGGCTCAGCCCATAATCCCGGCACTTGGGAGGCCAAGGAGGTCAGATCACCTGATGTCAGGAGTTCATACCAGCCTGGCCAACATAGTGAAACTCCATCTCTACAAAAATACAAAAATTAGGTTGGCATGGTGGCAGGTGCCCGTAATCCCAGCTATTCGGGAGGCTGAGGCAGGAGAATCACTTGAACCAGGGAGTCAGAGGTTGCAGTGAGCCGAGATTGTGCCATCACACTCCAGCCTGGGCAACAGAGTGAGACTCCATCACAAAACAAAACAAAAAAAGTTAATATTTATTAAGTGCACTGGAATTTAAAACAGTAAGAATTCAAGCACTTTATTTCCTTGGGAAAACGCACCAAGAGCTGTTTAAACAATTATTGCCTTCCCCACAGCACAGCACAGAGGAGGCAGCCGGCATCTTCCAGGCCTTGGGGCACTGACCTGCTTCTTTCTGAATGGAGATCTGCTCCCTACACACTCCCCTTTGTGCTCCTCAGGTCATGAATATCTCTGAGGCCCATGAGTGTGAGGTCTCTGGCTGGTGGCATTCCTTCCTGTTTCTCGGGACTTTCTTTTTTGGTGGGTCTCTGGGCACAAGGGATGTGAGCCTGGGGAGAACAGGCTGGACTCTGCATCAGGACGCAGAGGCCCTGGAGGGGCAGACACTGGAGCAAGCAGGTGCTGAATTTACCTGGTTTTTACTCAAAGGAGGCCCCTCACCACTGTCTTCCCTGGCACGGTGACTCCAATAAAAAGAAAAAAGGTGCTCACTCAGCACATTTCCTGGAACAGCAAGCAGAAAATATCCCTCTTGGTATTCGTATAAGTATTAGGACTAGTGTTAGTGCTCGTACTTGTATTAGTATTAGTAAGAGTGTTAGTATTAGTATTAGCATTAGTATTGTTTATCTGAAAACAGAGAGAGAAAAGCTGGTTTCTGTCTCCTTTTGATATCATAACTCAAGGTGCCCTGGGGATCTCGAGTGCATGGAGCAGGGAGTCTGAAGGAGTTTGTCCTTTGGGTATGAACCCATGGGAAGTAGGTGTGTATTCTGTGGCCAAACTCACTGGCCTCTTTGCTTAGTGGAGACAGAAGGGCCCAGGACCCACCCCTGAGCCTTTGCTTCCTGGGACCCCTCTCTATCTTTCCATGTGCATGCCTGAGGGGGTTCCTGGTGCTCACCCATCCACATTGGCTCTTCTTGAGATGATGCACTCACTGTACACCTGCGTGACCCTGTGTAGAAAGAATTCCAAAAACCCACGTGGGTCCACATAGAGTGAGGCTGCCTCCAGACAGGCACAGGGTCCCCGAGCCTCTTAGCCACTGCCAGAGCCTGAGACTGGGGCACTCACATGGAGACAAATCCATGGGGCTTTAGAAGAGGCTGGGTTGGTGGGAGCAGAGGAGGGCATGGTTGGAAAGCAGGGGTCCCTGGAAGCTTCAGGGCCACAGGCACTTGGGAGGGGAGAAGCCATCATGGAGAGAAAGGTCAGAGCTCCTTCCATGCCCTGACGTCACAGCGGGTTTCCCTCCCTCCCAGCTCTCCCTGGGCTCTTGTGTCAGGGAGTCAGGGCTGGCTCAGCTGGGGATCTTTGGTGAGTGGGAAGGACATAGGGCACTCGGGGTCTTAAGTTCAACTTTTAACATGATCCTCAAATGAGAGGTTTCACCCAGTGGCCTCCTGTCCACAGACCCCATGTCTTCTTGCTGGACTCCTGGGGGAGCTGCCCAGCCGGGGACATGAGATGTTTCACTTTTGTCTGCCAAATGCAAAGCTGTCTTAATCTACGTGAGGCCAGCTCCGTGCTGGAGGGTTGTGGTCCGCAGGACTGGTAGCCCAGCCCACCAGCTTCAGGCCCTCCCTGGTTAGACAGTGGAGCCTGACTAGGTACCCTCGCTTTCCCGCCTAGGAGTTTGTCTCTCTCCCACCACCACCCATGGCACCCAGGTCGCACACACCGAGGAGCATCCAAAGGCCAGGGCTGATCTGTCCTTGGCCGCCTCCCATGCTGGTCAGTGTCCAAAGTCCAGAGGGTTCAAGACAGCAGGAGGACAGGGACTCAGCCCGGCCCCGAGCATGCGCACACCCACCTAGGCTGCAATAGCATCCGGGCTCCACCCCAATCCCTCTCCAAAATTAGAGCAGGTGCCATGAGAGACCACGCAGTGGCAGCAGGCACCTCCAGCCGCAGGGGAAGGGGAAAACTCCTGGGTCCTCCAGAGCACTGGGGGACGTCAGTTGGTAATTGCAACCTGGGCAGCTTCTGTTGCACCTTTGGAGCTACTGCCCTACCAACTCAGGAGGACCAGGATTCCCTCTTGTCCCAGGCTCCTGTCAGCTCCAAAGTGTATGCAGCCTCGGCTGTGCCCTCTCTCTGTATTTCCCCACAGAGGGGACAGGCGAGATGAAGGTTCACAGGAGCTCTGGCCAACGCTGCACAAACAAACCCAATGCTCCTGGGTCTGGTTTAACGAGCCCCAACTGCACTCTTTTCAAGAAGATTGCGGGCTAACAGCACACAGTGAGGAGTGAGGTTGAGGCTTGGTAGAGGCTTCAGACTTGGGCGCAGGTCCCGTTTAGCCATGAGAGGGTATGGGTGACACAATTTGCTGCCTCAGTGACATGGGGCACAGGCCTGGCCCACAACCCTGCCAAGGCGGGTATCTGTAACAGTGGATCATGGTTCACAGGCCCAGCAATCGGGAGCATCAGGCTCTGTGGTCACCCCTGTGGTGGGCAGATCTTGGAAACACAGCCTCAGGAGGATTTCCACAGAACCTCCCTTTGAGGCCCAGGAACTTGACACTATTAGCAGGGCGGGCACAGTGGCCGCATAGCTGGCCAGGTCATCGAACCAGGTGCCATTTCTGCTTCCCAACCAGGCCCCTGGAGCACAGCCCCAGCTCTGCTTTCTGAACCTGGCAACCACACTTCATGTGCAAGCATGGCACCACCCCAAGCCCATTTCCTCAGGGCCGCTGTCTGCCCGATCTTTTGTGCCCGACTGAGTTGCTCCCCAAAGGTGAAAAAGTAAGGAAAAAAAACAGATGACTTAAGAGAAAAATGGGTGAAGACCATTGGCACACCTGTAATCCCAGCACTTTGGGAGGCCAAGGTTGGCGGATCACTCAAAGCCAGGAACTCGAGACCAGCCTGGTCATCACGACACAACCCTGTCTCTACTAAATATACAAAAATTAGCCAGGCTTGGTGGCACGTGCCTGTAGTCTCAGCTCCTTGAGTAGTTGAGGCATGAGAATCACTTGAGCACTGAAGTAAAGGATGGCAGTGAGCCCAGATTGCACCATTGCACACCAGCTGGGGGGACAAAGTGAGACTTTTCTCTCCAAAAATTAAAGAAAAAGAAAAGAACAAGAATTGGTGAGAATTTATCAAAATGATCTAATTTTATATGGTTGTTTTGGTGTTCTCAAGCTGAACCTCAATGATAGACAAATTAGTACTGCATTATTTTTCCATCAGTAACTCAATAACTAGAGATTTCTGATGTACAAATCGCTAAAGCAAGTCAATCAAATACAGAGGACACCAGAAAGTGTTCACTGAGGTTCTCTTTATTTCTGATATTTCTTTGTAACCATCTTTGCAGGGATAACATTCTCATGACTATAGAACTTTAGGTTCTGTCTCTGACTCTGCAGGACACGGGTCCCTGAAGGTCTCACTGACTCCACCTCAACGTTTTCCTCCAGTCCTGCCCCCTGCTGTTATGTTTTTTCCGTTGTACTGAGCACTTGCCTGAAGCAAAGAGTTCAGTGCTTCCTTTAAGCTGTACACGTGGCCTGGGCAAAGTCGCTCATGCCTGCAATTCCAGCACTTTAGGAGACTGAGGCAGGAGAATCCCATGTGCCCAGCAGTTTGCGACCAGCTGGGGCAACCCTGTCTCAAATTTTTTTAATAAAAATTTTAGAATTATTAAAAAGGAAATAAGAAATAAGAAAAATAACTTTCACGTACATACTAGATTTTAGTGTCTAGGTGCCTGGAAGAGAACTTTGGATGTATCTACCCCGCTAGGCACGCCTTCCCTGGCAGCAAAGATGGAGCTCCAGTTCCTCAGACGGTGATGAGCCGCAGGAAGGGCAGGGGGTGGGACCAATGAAGATCCTCCTGGGCTGCCTGACTTCCCTCAGTGTCTGCATCAGCTCAGCCCAAAGTGGGGTGAAGATCTTCCAACTGACACGAATCAAGGAATTCAAACTCTCCCAAGGGGCGGGATACGTCTCCAGGCTTAACTTGCTCAGCCCGCTGGTGTGGCGCAGCAGGTCCTTCAGGGCATCCACAGACATGAAATTTTGACCAAAGTAGAAGGTGGTGAGCTGGGAGCAGCGGCTCAGGCCGGGCAGGATGGCACTGAGTTGGGAGTAGTGGATCTGACAGCCCTCCAAGATGAGGGTCTCGAGAGTGGCAGCAACTTTCTCTAGCAGAGCTCCGAGGGGCTCAAGACTGACGCGGAACAGTGACACGTGGCTGAGATTCAGATGCTTCAGGTAACCGAGGCTTGGGTACTGGGAGAGACACTTCACATCCTCTTCCAATAGGTAGCCACAAGTCAATTCCAAGTTCTCCAAGGGGTTCTGGAGGCACCTGTGGAGATCAAGAAGTTAGTTCTGGGCAATGGCACCAGTTAGATGAAGGTGGTGGGGAATAACCTCAAGGGAAATGTCTGCTTCACCCAAACACAAGTTTATTCCCATCATGTGATGATGGTCTGCATGCAAGTTGCTGCGTGATGAGGACTCTGATCATTCAGGACAGTCCCATTTTAGCCTCGGCCCTTTCGCCATTGCTTGTGTGATTGATTCAAGGCTGCAAAATCTCTAAAGCCTCTTTTCTTCACTTTTTAGCAGAAAACTTCATCTCTGGGCCACAGGTACCAGGTTGGAGATGTGCACAAAGAACTCAACTGAGCAAGGTCTAGGGACATCAGCTGGGGCTACGTGCCGGCAGGGGCTCCCGGACATGCCTGCATCGGCAAACCACCTATCACTTTTTACCACTCCCATGCCTACTCCCTCACCCTCCATTCAAGAAGTACACATTTCCCATGTCAATTACCTTTCCTGGAGTTCGAAACAACCTTTTACAGACAGGGAATTAGAGACAGAATCATTCGTGATCACTAAGCTGGTGAGGACAGAGCTTCTACTGTGACATGCACAAGTTTGGTGCACTTTTCCTCCTTTCATAGCCTCCTCTATTACCTCTTTTATATCATATCAACTTGAAACACACCTTGAAACAAGAAATTCACACGTGCACCCTCAGTAGAGCTGAAACCCCCACTCAACTAGCTCGTACATGATATCCTTCTCTAGCCTCTACCCCAGGTGACCCCGCTGCCCACATTGGAGCGATCCTGTGATAGCCACTCCATGACATGGAGCCCTGAATGGGACAATGTGTTGACATTCTGGTGTCCCCTTCACTGTGACGTTGCCACTGACTGGCACACAGTACATGCCTTCCAGTGTTTGCTGTAACAAAACAAGGCTGTGCTGTGGTCTGCAGAGAAAGTGTGCAATCCTTTCTCACCTGATCAGCTGTTCCAGGTGCCCACTGAAGAAGGTGACCAATTTTATTTTAAGCAACTAGAGATGTTCCAGCCTGAGGAACACAGAGCCGAATTTGGCGACTAACCGTCCCTTGAGGTCATTGTCTGACGTGTAACGATGGCACCTGGAGAAAACGAGTTTGCGAAGATTCTTCATCTCCTTCAGGTAACAACGAAGCTTTCTTATCAGACGTGGCCAGGACATGTTGCGGATTTCCAGCTCCTGAATACTATTCAGGTGGATTAATGTCAGTGGTTTTCTGAGATATTTAATCGGCGTTAGATAATTCACCAACTTACTACAGCACAGGTGTACTAAACCTCTCCTTTGGTAAACCCACTGAAAGAGGTATCTCAGGCACTCATCCTGGGGTATTTAAATATTTTTAAATAAGAGCAATTCTTATTCATTGATCTTTAAAATTCGTTTTGAATGTGTCATTTCATTTGAGACTCAAAACCACATTAAGCATTTTTAAAATATTGCACTACATACTTTAAAGCACTAAATTCCTGTTATATGTTAACATTTCAATTTGAATCTTAAATGTGTTGTATGTAAATCACAAATACATATTTATTCTCTATAAACATTTACATAACAGCAGATTTTTGGAGATACCACTCAATATCATCCTGTTTGCATCAATAAATTACAACAGATGGTCTCACCTACCAGCAGATGGCACATGAATCTCATGGGTTGGACATTTTCTCTCAGGATCACTAGTGATGAACTCAGGCCTTCCCCGCCCACCCCACCCTCTGCTGGCTGCTGAGGCTCTGCAGTTTGGGGGAATCATGATTAAGTAGTGGTGGTGTGTAGCAGCTGAGTCCTGTTGCCCGCCCTGGCATCCTACTGCCTCCCTGTTATCAGGAATGGAAGATGACATTGAAGGGTGAAGAATGCTGGGACTTCTATTAGGAGAGGGAAAACGAGAACAAGATGCACGTATTGAGCTCTTACTGTATGCTAGGCCCCATTCCAAGTCCTGACCATGCACCATCTCACTGGGTCGTACAACGGTCTCATAGGATGGCGGGCATCATCATCCTTATTTTACAGGGAAACTGAGCTTCTTGCCTATTTCATGCCCAACAGCACCAGCCCCTGAGTCCTCAGCAGGGTTCTACACTTAGGTGCGTGTTGCGTAGGGTCCTTCAGCACAGGTGTGGTCACTAATTACCCCCAGGCACTTGATCGTTATCCACCCTCTAAGGATGTGTGATTCCAAATACGACGCACTAGTCTTCCCTGACAGGGAGAAAGGGGAGGTGTTAAGAAAAGGTCTTTCACCGATGTTATAGGTATTATATGCCTACATAATGCAAGCATTTTGCTAAAAGGGAATTTGGATGTCTTTATTGGCCACAACTGCTTTAATTCAGCAAGGGCCACTACCCACCGTGAGGACAGGCATGGGTTGGTGATGCCCTGAGGCTGCTGCTCACACAGTCTGGAGCTCCCCTTCCAGGGCAGGGGCCATGCCTTGGGCAGTGAAGTCCTTTCCCAGCACAGGTAACGGTCAGGAACTGAGAGTTCTGGATCCACCCATTTGGAGTGAACAGGGTCTCGGCATCTGGACAGAAGTGAGGGCCCCTGAGAAGAAGCAGCTGAACTTCAGTGGCTGACACTCACTTTCCACTTAGAATGCTCCAGGCCCTGTGTGTGTCTCTCATGTGCATTAACCCACTAAGTAGTCACAGAGAATAGCAAGAAGGTAACAGATGCCCAGAGAGAAGTAAAGAAAAGGAGGGAATTGATCCAAATGATCAAATTCCATTTTGATGGCTTGATTTCTGGGAGCTGAAACTCTTTTGTCACAGACAAATCAGTGCCTCCTTTCCTCCATCAGTAACTTGAGACTTCTTAGGTTTACATTGTTAAGCCAGGTGAAGTAATCATGGAGGACACCAGACAGTTTCCATTCAGTTTCACTTTATTTCTGACCGATTCTTTACAACCATCCATGCAGAGGTAACTCTCTCATGTGTCTCTCCTACCTGATTTTCACTCTAGCAGTTCAGATTCCCATTTCTGTTTCTCTGGGACACAGATCTCTAAAGATTCCATCAACTCCAGCTCAACTTTTCCCCCAGTCCCACCACTTCTGCATCCATGGTGCGTCTGTGCTCCCTTTAACATACACTCATGGCCTAGGATTCAGTTCCCAAATGACCAGAAGAAAGCTCTAAATACATCCACCCTGATGGACAGGCATTCAGCAGAGGCAGTGACTGGGCTCCAGGTCATAGGAGACCCTGATGCCACAGCGAGGGCAGGGGACAGTGCTGAACACAACAGTCTTGGGCTGCCTTAAGTCCCTCAGTGTCTTCATTAGCTCAGCCCCAAGTTGAGCAAATCTCCCCCAGCAGAGAGCACCCTGGGCATCATAACTCTCCAGAGGGGCAGGGTACAGCTCCAGGCTCAGCTTGCTCAGCCCGACGGTGTGGCGCAGCAGGTTCTCCAGGGCGGCCACGGAGATGAGGTTCCCATAGAAGCTCAAGGTGCTGAGCTGGGAGCAGCGGCTCAGGGCAGGCAGGATGACGCTGAGTTGGGAGTCCGTGATCCCACAGTCCTCTAAGTCCAGGGTCTGCAGGGTGGCCTCAACTTGCTCTAGCAGAACGGCGAGGGGCTCAGGGCTGAAATGGGTCAGTGTGATGCCCCTCAGGTCCAGCTCCTTTAGCTGACGGATGCTCGGGCACCAAGATAGATGCTTCAAGTCCGACTCTGACAGCAGGCAGTCGGTCATGACGACCGTCTCCAAGGGGGCCTGGAGACACCTGGGAGAGAACAAGGAGGAGTTAGAGGAGAGTGGTGGGAAGACCTCATGGTGAGAGATGACAGTCTCCACAACCCAAGGCTGCTCTGCTCATCTGAGGATAGTCAGCACCCGCGGTGTGGGAACGGAGACTCTGCTCCTTCCAGACAGTCCCAATTGAGGCTCAGTCCTTCACCATCACTCAGGTGACTGGGTCAAGCCCATGAACTCTAAGGCTCCCTTTCTTCATCTGTCAGGCAGAAAACCACATCTCTGGGCCACAGGAGCACCACGGAGACACAGACATAAAGAATAACCCAGGCGGAATCCTGCAACATCAGCTGGGGTGGCCAGGCTGCAGGAGTCCCTGACACGCCTGTATCATCAGCAAACCGTCTATCACTTTCTCCCTTCTTCACTCCTGCTCCCTCACCCTCTATTCCATCATCATGTATTTCCCGTACATTAGTTACCTGACTTGGAGCTCAAAGCATTTTACTGACAGAGGGAGAGACAGGATTTTGCCTGTTCACTAGGCAGGTGAGGACAGACCTTATATTTTAAAACAGAGGGGTGTGATGGGCTTTCTCTTCTTTAGTGCCCTCTTCAACTCCCTATCTCCCATCATCTTAACTTAGACACACATCCTCGGGAGGAATTCACAAATGTACTCTCACTAGATCTGAACCCGCAGTTGCTAGCATCCTAGCATGGCAGCCTCTCTATAGCATCTAGCCCAGGAGATCCCTCTGGCTTATTGGGATGGTTGTGTGACACCCATTTTAGGACAGAGCTGCCAACAGGACAATGCATGGACATTCTAGTGTCCCCTTCACTGTGACCTCGTCACAAGCTGGCTCACAGTACATACCCCCTGGTGTTTACTGTAATAGAGAAAGGCTCTGCTGTGGTCTGCACAGAAAGCTCACCATCCTTCCTCACCTGAGCAGCTGGTCCAGGTGGCCTTCGAGGAAAGAGACAGAGTGCATGTAAAGCTTCTGGAAGTAGTCCAGCTTGAGGAACTGAGAGGTGAACTGGGTGACAAACTGCTCCTTCTTGTCTGGGGGAATGCAGGCAGAGACATGGATGTTGAAGAGGACAAGTTTGCGGAGATTCCTCATCTGGCCCAGGTAAGGGGCGAACCTTATAAGAATGGACAGCTCCCAGGGGCAGCACACTTCCACCTCCCGGATACAGTCTAGTTCCACCATGTTCAGGACCTCTATGACACTGTGGATGGGCATTCCAAAAATCTGCAGCTCTTTGCAACACACATGCAGTAAGCCTTCTCTCTGTTTGCCCCACTCTAAGAAGCGGGTGAGGCATTCATCCAGAGTCCCATTCTTGAAGCAAAGGTCTAGGGTCACCATCAAGGGCTGCTGCCCACCCAGCCTTGGACAGTTCTCTGCTGTTTGTCTCTTACTCAGGGCCTCTGGGGAGGGTGCAGAAGCTCCAGACCATATGCCCCAGAAGTTCTCATCCACATCCCGCAAGTCTAGCACTTGAAGTTTCCACCGCCTGTGGATAAAAGAGAAGAGACGCTCCAGATTTACTCAACGATTTGAGCTTTTATCCACATCCCAGACATCAGTGACTCCCCTCCCTGCTGCTTCTCCCACTCTCTGTCTTTTCTCCATCCCTCTTTCTCCTTGAAACCTGCCTGGTCCCCGCTGCTAGTGTCTTCAATTGCCACTGGGAGGAAGCAGGTTCCTGATCCTTCAGTGGGCCCTGCATGGTGAGCAGTCCTTTCCCAGAGGAGCTGGACAATGGCCAAGGCCTCTCTGAGCTTCCCTGCCAGCCGCATCAGAAGCCTTTGGGCCACCCTTGGGCCTCCCACTCCTTCTGACCCAGCCAACCCTACCCTGGATGTCTGGGCCCTCCCCACCTGGCCAGCTGGGTCACCTCACCTGGGGCGAACCTTCTGGGCAAGCAGTGCATCAAGCCCCTCCAGCACAGCTCCAAAGGTCTCCAGAGGACGTGACTTCATCAGGGACCCTAGAGGAAGGCAGGTGAAGGGCCAGGCCTGCACCATAGTTTTCAGGGTCTCGCAGCATCTCCTGGTAAAGGCCTCTATGAACAGTGAGGGAAAGAGCTCCCTGGGCAGCTCCTCCAGGGTGGAGATGGCCAACGCTCCGTCCCTCAGCAGACTCTGCTCAGCCAGCTCCAGGAGTCTGGGTGGGGCCTGGAGGCTCATGCTGATGAATCTACGTGGAAAACTTTCGGAGAAAGAGCATGATTTTTATGGCAAATCACATTACTTCATCATCTCCTAGTGCCAATGCCATTGCTCTGGTAGAGGTGGAAAGGTAATTAGTTCACCCCAATTCCACTCTGAACTTTCTGGACACAGATCCGTAATTCTGCTCCTGCTGGTACCATGAAGATTGTCTTCCAAACAATGAGGAGGGGCAAGGTGACCACTGGCCCATTCATTTTCAACCATTGCTGCACTAAATCTCAGTAACACTGGGAAGCGTTGCTGAGGATCCTGAAAGCTAAGCTCCACCTTTTCAAGAAAATATTTCTTGTCACTTACCACCCTAAAACAATGGAATGAGAATGTCCCGTGGCCCCACACAGCCTACATTCTCAGTTCCCACAATTAATATGCTTG